GTATAGTGGTAACGACGCTGTCTATCGTGCCGTAGGGCATGGTTTCAAATCCCGGAGAAGACATGGATGTTTGTAAATGTATAGTGCCTTTGCGGCATGGGGGTACTCTAAATAGCCGTCGAGCCGCAAGTTCTCTAGTGTGATTGGTGGAAGGGGAAGAGAGGTGGGAGGCGCCTGGCCACCAGGGTGTTCTACCTCTAAATTGGACTGGAACCGAGCAAAATCGTACTGTCACCTGCATGGTGCTCAAAGCTCAAGCTAACGACAGGCGTAAAAATTCTAGCCCTTAGCCGCGATGAATTTCGAAGTCCTCGATCTGACTTCGTCAGACAGGTGACATTAGTCACAACAACAACAGAAGTAAGTGTTGTAAGCGAGAGTGTAGCGTTCACATGCGATCTGGTAAGATTTGTTTCGGTTTTGGCCAATAGAAATATAAATATCTGTATATAACTGTCCTGTTCAACTGAGAATGTTAGTCTCTGTCGAGTTAAAATAAAAAATTTAGTAAATAGGAAGCACAGCTATAAATGAACTTACTTGATTTTACCATTGTCGGGCATGAAGCTTGAGTGAGTGAATATTAACGTCGCACCATTCAGATACTCGAGGGTTCTTGGCGACGGACTTTTATTTGAACCTGGTCAAATGATGAGAAATACACGACTGAGCTGGACCTCTCTCTCCTAACTTCCACGTTTCACCAACTAGAGGACGTGTGAGCCTCGACAGATTTAAAGTGCATCAGCCCCCTCTGTACTACAGGTCTTCAGCGGTACAAGCCTTGAACTCATGACATGCCAGCCACGAGTTCGTGACCTAGACCACTAGGCAACCGCTTGAGATCGTGATCAGTTGGTTACCGCGCGAATACGCTTAATTCAGAACATTCATAAAAAAAAGTTGGCATTACTTGGCACATTTTCTTTCTTTCTTTAATTTATCCGACTAAGTTCGGAACCGTGATTTTGCAAAAGCGTATAAATGGATAATATTTATGATATATTTAGTGTCACTTAGATTAGAAAATTTATGTAAAACTGTTTTAAGAATAGTATTACAATAAAAATTATTTAAGTACCATATTTTGACAAAAATGAACATAAGCCATTTCAAAATATTCTTTTCTGAAAAATGCTTCTATTATAATAATATTTTGTTGATATAGCTCGACCTTTTGTACAGAGCCTCAACTAGAATTTTTGAAATATATAACTTAGAAGTGGGTTTATCCATGTTTTACGACAACAGAGGGGAGAAATTGTGAGAAAAAAACGCCAATGTTATTTCAATTGGTGGTAACTCTAAAAATAATGTGAATTTTTCAAAAATCATGGTTGGGCCTTTGTACAGAGGTCTGAGCTATATACAGGCAAAATATTATTATAATAGAAACATTTTTCACAAAAGGAGAACATTTTGAAAAAAGGTTATTCTAAGTTAATTTTTTGCCGAAAAATATTGTATTTAAATAATTTTTTGTCATGTCCTTAAAACAATTTTATACATGTATTCTAATCTAAGTGACACTAAATATCGTGAAAATTATCCATTAATGCTCTTTTTTAAAATCACGTTTCCGAACGTAGTCGGATACCTTAATAGTTCTTATTAGCAGCAAATTCCTCGCGAAACATTCACATTTTTACCTAACACTCTATTTTAGGCTATTTTTGCTGTCTAAAATGTGTGAACTTTTTATAGAAGAAAAATTAAATGCAAAATAAGCATTTCCAATGTTTTCTTCAAAAACCGTGGCTTCCATTGAATAAATATGTACGAAAGGAATTTTGTTTTTAAAAATTATTTTGTGATATTAAATTTTTTTAATTAATTCGAAGGTTAATTTAATATTCGAAGCATCATATAATTTCATAGATCTTCCTTCTGAAGCCCATTGTGTGTGGAGGAGTGTGGAGAGGATACGATTAAATATATTGCGTCACAGAGAATTTTCAACATAATTTACACTTTTATTTTTAATTAGTTTATTTCTGCAGCATCAATCGATGGAACTGTTTAAAGAAATAAAAAAATATACATTTCATCATACTGTAAATTATTCATAAAGTGAATGACCTTTTCATTTGGATAAGTTCATGGTCGACAGTTTTAATGGTAAGCGATTTAAATTAAATATAACCAGATGACCTTTTCTAAGAACTTGAGAATTAATTAAAGTTAAACATGTGCATGCTTTAGTTAATTCGTTGATTTCAAGAAATAAATAACACAAAAAATAATCTTGGCAAATGTTCAATTCTGGTAAATGGCTCTGCTACATTTAACAAGCTAATGATCCAACTTGTTGGTCACGCGCAGATGCGAGAATTAAGAGTTAAAACATTCTTTCCATTTCAAATTATTTCTTTAATAAATCAACTTAATTTAGACCGTAACTGTAATCAGTTAGACTGCTTCGGCCATGAAAAGAAAGCTTTTTATTTCGATTTGTTTAATTGCATTCAATTTATCTATCATCTATCAGGAAGTAAATAAAATTAAATGCAAATGTTAACCTGGATATTGAAAAATGAAAATTATCTGTTCGGCTTTGTAAAGATATCAAATTAGTTATTTATTTATATATTTCCATTAAGACATATTTATTATTATATAGAAAGTTGAATAATTGTTTTCCTATGTTTTGTTTTTAAATAATTGCAGATAATTTGCAGTACTCTGACTTCTGAATTTGCATTAAATTTAGCGAGGATTAAAAGATTTTTCATTCGATAATAATTACCTCTTATTGCATTAAAATGCACAAATGATTTGCAAAAGTGAATTATAATGTTAGTTTCAACAACTAAAAGAGAGAGAGTGAGAGGATATGTACAAAATACAAAAGGATATACAGGGTATCCGGGTTTAAAGTATCCAAAAGTAATGGCTTATTATTACGGAACTATCCATCAGAATGTAATAAACTGCTCAACAATGGAATTGCAAACTCTCCGAAATTTTTGGGTCTAGTCCGATCGGGTCGCACGTGCGCGCATGATTCTGTAATCGCAGAAGATAAATTTGTTACACTGACTTCATTAGTAAAGATGTGGACGTCACAGCAAAAGGTGCTGTGTGTACTTCGGTTAAAGGAATTTAAATCAGTCACGCGTTTACAACGACATGCCTAGAAGATATGGGGGCGCAAAAAATTAGAGGGAGGGATAAGAAAAAAAATTAAAACTAACGTACCATCGCCTAGCGAATCATGAGAGAAGCATTTCTGTTCTTAAGAGAGTAAAGACTGAAATGAGATAACTGTAGAATAAGAAAAGCTTAACTGTGTTTGATGTTGCTTTGCACTCAAAATGATATGCAATGGAAATTGATTACAATGATGTCATTAAGGTATCCGATTAGTTTAGGAACCGTGATTTTGCAAAAGCTTATAAATGGATAATATTTATGATATTTAGTGTCACTTAGATTAGAAAATGTATGTAAAACTGTTTTAAGAATAGTATTACAATAAAAAATTATTTAAGTACACTATTTTGACAAAAAATGAACATAGAATGACCCATTTTCAAAATATTCTCCTTTTGTGAAAAATGCTTCTATTATAATAATATTTCGCCTGTATATAGCTAGGCTCAACTCTAGAATTTTTGAAATATATAACTTAAAAGTGGGTTTACCCATGTTTTACGACAACAGAGGGGAGAAATTTTAAGAAAAAAACGATGATAATTATTTAAAATGGTTGTAACTCTGAAAATAATGTGAATTTTTCAAAACTCATAGTTGAGCCTCTGTACAGAGGTCTGAGGCCTCTGTACAGAGGTTTTATTCAGGCAAAATATTATTATAATAGAAGCATTTTTCACAAAAGGAGAACATTTTGAAAAAAAGTTATTCTAGGTTAATTTTTAGCCGAAATATTGTATTTAAATAAATTTTTTTTGTCAAAATGTCCTTAAAATAATTTTATACATGTATTCTAATCTAAGTGACACTAAGTATCATGAAAATTATCCATTTATGCGACTTTTTAAAATCACGGTTCTGAACGTAGTCGGATACCTTAATGGTTTCATAATGATCAAAGTTCGAAGAAAACCTTTGTTGGTACAAGTTCAATGACAGTGACTCAACAAAGAATAAGGAAGCCCAAAAGTAAAGGATAGTAAAATGATAAGCGATGAAAAAGATGATAATTAATGTTGAAAACAGTTCACATGATAATGAACACCTTGTACTGTAATTGCAAACGATTTCATTAATTTATTGTACTAATTTATTAAAGGGTGAGTGGGTGGTCTGTAATGCCGTTAGGCAAAAATTGAGGAAGATTTGCCAAACCATGCCACTATCCATTCCCAACGGCTGCCGGTTGTCAGTCCGGAACACGGCGGGTCCATAGATGGTAGATAAAAGCAAGAATCTTCAAAGATCAAAAAAAAAAGAAAAATAGTGACAAAGTTAAGGAAAATTTTCTCCCGAAGTAAAACGGCTAGGTAAGAACTGAAAGAGGAGATGCTCTGAAAATTGGGAGGCGAAACAATTTGAAGTGCCTAGGACGCCGGGGAGGTTAAAAACGGTCATACAGTAGAACATCGTTTTTCCGAACGTTATTATCCAGAGCGTCAAATATCCGGACCAGTTTTTTTTGTCAACTACATGTACTGTATATGAATACGTTTTCGAACATTGCAATATGCTCAACAGTTGTTTCGCGTGGGGCCAAAAGTGACAGAAAAACTCAATGTCAGGAATATTTGGGGCATTTCAGATGTGAGATTTGGTAAATATCTGCGCGGAATATTCGGTCAGTATGTTTCAAAGTGAGGGGTGTATTCGTGCTCTTTTTTAAGTTATGAACTGCTATTGCTTCGAAATCAAAAACGGAAGCGCAACGTCTGGAACATTGAGACAAAACTTGAAATATTGAACCGTCTCGCGAAGAGAGAAAGTGAAACGTCTCTAGCACAGCAGAAGACTGTGGATTTCAAATGCTAAATGATGACGAGATTGTGACTTCCGTGCAGAGTCTTTCGTGGTCTAATGTTCAGAATAACACGCTTCTAATGCTTAGTCCTGGGTTCGATTCCCAGGAGCTCACTTTTCTAAATTGCTTTATTTCCCACTTTGAAGTAATTTTTCAAAATTATCTCTTGATTTCTCTTTATTATTCTCATCTTAAATCAGTACTGGGCTAAGATTTGAAAAATAAGCCAACCCACAAAGCTATTCACCATCACAAGCGATTGGAGGTTAAGTTTCCCTGGGAAACAGGAACTCCCACAGCTATTCAACTATACTTCCGTGCAAGAAGAATCCAACCCTGTCGACGATGAAATGGATGAAGACGAGGACAACAACGAAAGTAGCAAGGGTCCATCAAATGCTGATGCGTTTTCTGCGTTAGAGACAGCTATGGAGTGGTACAAACAACAATCAGAGTGCTATCCTACTCGACTACTGCTGCTCTAGACAGTCATTGCAGCGAAAAAACGAAGGTGTACAGCAAAAAATAAGTGATTACTTTCCTCAATAAAGGTAAGATTGCGACATTCTGCACCTATTTTGCTTTTTCTTCAAGCACGTTTCCCGCAGGTGATGATTTTCAATATTCTTATAGTGTCCGGTTTCATATACTGCATGGACCGCATTCGGTTATCGGAACAGTCGCGTATCCGAACGGTGTCCTGTCCCAATTGATTCGGATAAACGACGATTCTACAGTTCTCCTATGCAAAAGAAGGCCCCACTTGGGACCTTTTTAAAGTACACGTTGTCAAATATCGTGTTAACGGTAACCCATAGCTAATAAATGTGCATGTATCTCACAAACCTATTGAACCACATCACCTGTGAATCTACAATCGATTTTCAGTAAATAATTTTAATTTTAGCCTATTTGTTTGTGAAATCTTTATTTGGACAAACATAAAAAAAAATTATAGATGACAAAAAAACTCATTTTCCAATGGATCCTTTTGTGTATTTTAATTTTTTTTTAATGTGAAATGTTAGGGTTAAAAAAAGTTTCTGAAACTGCATTCTGTGTGGATGAAAAAATTGTATTCGCACGCTATTAGTATTTTTTAAAGGATCATATTACCGTTACGTTTTGTTCTTTTTAGTATACACGGAATCATATCGCTCAAAAAATAGATTAATTAACAAAATGATTCTCAATGCTCTTTTAACCTTAATTAACTACAAAACTGTACGAGTCGCTTGATTCCCTTGGTTATTTGTGCCGACAAGAAAACTGTAATTAGTATAATCAATGGATGTTATTGAAAATCTCTAATTAGTTTCCAGAATGGCCTTAATAGGCAATTTAGCTATTATTTTTAAATAGATATTATACAGGCCTGTGTGTGCCTCCTTTTAAAATAAATGATGCATAATGAATGAAATAATGATAACCAATTAAAACGATTGAAATTTAGCATTTATTTTTTAGGGAATTAATGTATGTTACTCTACAACCCTAGTAACTTACAGAAAGGTGACCTTGAAAATAATTGGTTGTAGTTTTTAACTCATTGATTCACCTCTTTTAATGCTTAAATTAGCTTTAAAAGGCAACTCCGTATAATGCTCTGTGATATAAAAAAATGCCAATATTTAGCCACATAACCCTTATTTTTAACTCTCATTTTATCCTAATTTGATTTATTTTACGCTTGGGCTCATCCTCGTTTTTTTTTCTGCCGTTGGCTACGACCTATTTCGAGTAATTGGTATTGCAAGCCTTTTCTCGGATGCGCCCGCACAGAACTGTGTTAGGCCGGCACTGATGGTAATGAGAATGGATACAAAGTTAAAAAGGATTGTTATTTCGCCTCATCCCCATTTAGATTGTTAACGATGCATAATCAGTCTCACTCTCAGATTCGACACGCAATGGATAACCCAACACCAGAATTTAATGAAGGAGAGCTTCCCCGCGAAAAACGTAAACAAGTGTCCTCGTGGCTGCGATAAACCCCAAAAACGCGGAAATTAATTGTTAAGTTTCCTGTTTTGTAGCGTAACCATCCAGGTGTGGCACCCCTTTCTTCCGCGAACAGAAGAAAAAAAAAGGTGGATAAAAATATTAATAATAAAGAACTCGAAAAGAACAAAGCAAAAAAAAAAAACTGGATGGCAAAAGGTGGTCGTTAGAGTTGGGATGATAGCGACTTCGGCAGACAGGAGGGTAATTACCAACATTTATATGTCAAGTGTACGTAGCCAGTTGTGTTATTTGAGGTGTCTTGATCGACCTTTAGTTAAGGTCTACCTATTCCACTTCTCTTGCGCGTTCTTTTTTTTGGTGATTTTGTTCTTTCATGATGAGAAAGCTAATGCATGGCAGTTTTTTTCTTTGTTCTGTCAGGCACAACCTCTTTGTCCTCTGCGTTTCAGGAAAAAGATTTCGCCATTGGTGAACTTTTTTCCCTCTTCTCTGATGCTTCTTCTTTTTAAAGTCTTATTTATTGCCGAAAAGCCTGGGGCGAACCTAGAATGAATTACAGATTTTCGCATTTAGCCTTGTGAAAAGGGTTGGTTACTGGAAACCCAGGGGTTCTTGTTGACGGAAGGAACTGCTTGAAAAATTTTTTCCACGCAGCTTGAATCCTGTTTGCTGGTCGTAATTCGTGCGCGATATATGAGAAAGCATTGGTTCTCCTCCACAAGCTGTTTAAACTAGCAATCCTAATGGCGCTTGGTTCAAAATAATGGTCATGTCTTTGTGCTTTTGTTGAAATGCATCCGCTTAGGAAGAATCATTTACGGCTAATTATCTTTGATCAAATAGTTGAGTGGCATAAATATAAGTTATTTTTAAATAAAGTATATTCACGCAAAGATAAGTTGAAATTTTTTTGTACTCAGTCAGATCGATATAATTAGTTTTTTGAATGAATATTGATGAAATTAATTTTTACTTTTGCTGCAATTCAGTCTTCATATGATATAAAAGCAGTAGCGCACAGGAATTTTTCAAGGGGTCCAGGGTCAAAGTCCACCATCCTCGTATCGTGCTCCAATACGCCGCCCAACCTACTCTTTTGATTTTGTCGATTTTCGGGAACAAAAAACAGTGAAAAATTAATAATTGAATAAATAATTAGCATTAATTAATAAAATTAATTATAAATACTTAATTAAATTTTACGTAATATATAAATATGATTATAATCAATCGAAAAAAATCAAAGGCTTGGCGGGGTCGGACCTGAGCCCTTGTGTGTGCACCACTGTATAAATGCATATGTGAGAAACTACACAGAGCTGTTTTCAAATAATCAATAACGATAGCGTTTTACTGTCTGTAGAAAGGAGTAATTCAAAATAGACTAGGGTCAGCAACCTTACTACTTTAGTGTGCTAAATCAATTTACCAATATGATACAGCCACCAGGGGCGGCTCTAGGGCCGGACAAACCGGACCCCTGCCCGGGGTGGCAAATTTTAAGGGCGGCATTTGGATCAATTTTGAAAAATATATTTTTTTTTTTACAAAAAAATTTGATATATTTTAAGAATTATTATTAGGTGTGAATTTGGTATTTCATTTAACGTATCTTATTTATTTATTTTTTACTCTGTATGTTTAATGATAGTTTTCTTTTATGTTGAAACTTGAAGGGTTCGAGGTGGGATTATATATCAAGTCATGAAATTTGATATGTTTACACATCTTTCACTAGTACGATGTCCGGTTCAGCTATCCATAAGGGGACAAGGATTCTGACAATTGGGAAAGCAGATGGATTTTTTGGAGATGTTTTCTATAAGTCCTGAGTGTAGTATCTATAATTAAAATAAACGCTTGTGGTCACACTATTAAATAGACTATTTTTGAAGAAATGGCCTGCTTAAATAGATGATTCCTTCTGTTTCATTTCACTCGTTTGAAATAATAACAAGTAATTATGTGTCTCTAATTTCGAATTATTTTGAATTTTTTTAAGACTTAAAATAATATATATATAGAGAGAGAGACAGGGGCGGCATTTTCCATTTTTGTCCGGGGCGGCAAAACTGCTAGAGCCAGCCCTGCAACCACGAAGAAGGAAATACATATGAAACAATTCGATTTCCGTGGTAATACATGCAGAGTTAGGGAACAGAGATAAAAATACAGAATGAGTTTTATAGTATATTAATAATGCATCATTTAAAGATATTTATTAAGATAAGTGTTCAGTGTACGTGTATGAGAATGTAAAACGCCTTCTAGCGCTCATGGTGATTCAGTCCATCAACGAGAGACTCCAACGAGGGAGGAGTCGAGTCGAGACGAGCCGAGTAAATAAACAACAGTCCACTTAAAATAGTGAATTTGAATATTTTTTTGAGGTAACTGAGTTGTCAATAAAGAAATAAACAATATAAACTATAACTATTTCTGCAATGTAGTTAAATAATTTTCTTTTAATGGGTGAACCTTGCCCTACAAAGGTCCGCTTAATATCGAAATATAAAGGTCTAATTTAGACGACTTTCAATTTGACTCAGGGTTTTGAATGTTCAGTTCTTAACTATCCTTTTTGTGGATTCAAACAAAATATATTTCATATGAGAAAAAAATTGTTCACATATGTATGTAGAATCAAAAATGGAAAGCGAGCATATGCAATTGCCTTCAAACAACAAAATCGCTCCGGCACTGACATTCGCCAATTTAAAATAGCTACCGATTTATCATTAGAGTTATCTTCCAGATTTTTTTGTGATTCCGTTAATTTTCTATAATTCAAAAAATGACAATTCGATAAGTTCCATTTCAAAATTATTAACTTCCATCCACTCAAAAATGAACGAATCAAACGGTGTCCCGTTTGATTCGTTCATGAGTCAACTAATTCATGGGTCTGTTAAATCAGGTTTAATTAGGATAGAAAATATAGGCAAACAAGCTTCAAAGACCTTGCATCTTTTGGGAAAATTCCCCCTTAAGTGCTTTAACGTAGGTTTGAAGTTCCTCTTTATTTACACAGTAGATGTATTTCCAGCGCATTAACATTTTTTATGTATTTGTAGGTACTAATATTAATATTACAGAAAAATATACTTGATTTTGTAGCAAAGCCTTTCGAATATTGAAAAAATTCAAGC